TAAATCAAATGCCCGACTTTATCGATTCCACTTTGATTAACCGCCACATCGTCTCTTTGTTCTGACATTACCACACTATAGTGATTATTTCTTCGTGGTGAGTTCATAATCGCACGCGCCCTCTGGCCATCCAATATGAAGTGACAAGAAGGCGAGAAACTCTGCAAATGACAGCCCACGGTAAAAAGAAATTTGTTTTCTTCAATTATCTCTTCGTCAAAGACAATAAGTAATCAGGCCTTTCGGATTAGCACTTGAGGATTAGTACAAATGAATTGTAAAATAATCACGAAATTCATCACGGACAGTATTTTTACGCATAAATGTTTGAGCATTTTGTAATTGATAATAGGCAAGAAATAGAAGAACAGTTTGAGGAAGCGTTTCTACGGTTGGTCTTCGTTGTATCTAGTATTCAACGGAAACGATTTTTCCAATCTTAATCTTAACAGGCTGCTCGGAAAAATGATTCTCGAGATATGATACACAAATCGCATGTTGATAACGATGAGTTAATGGGCAAATAACGAATTCTACAGAGTCATGTGTCATAAAAAAAACTGTTATGGTAATAAACATTTTTCCAATAATTGGTTTCTCTTCCGTTTTTCTCTTTTTTTGTATACTTTTGCTATTTGCTATGTTTTACGTTATGAAAATTAAAATGCTTTTGGGAAATTTCCGTTTAACTAAATCTATTCCCAGATTTTTGTTTTTGCTTTTCTTTTTATGTTTTCCTACTTTGCACGCAATTCGAAGACTTCGTCGTGCTGGGCTCCTCAGAAACATATTATAGCATCATATACATCATAGCGAGGGCCGAAGTGAGAGAATAATAACTTTTTGATGTATCATGAAAATGACTCGGGAAAAGACTTCGCTTTCTATTTTCTGTTTGAAAGACCGTGTGATATCCTTGTGGCTTAAGTCTTGTGGCTAAGACTTCCTTTAAAAACATAATTGCGTCAGCTTAAAAGAGTGTAAGATTAAATGGAAAGAATAAATTCTCGATCGTCCGATAGTTAAAAATACATCTTAATGGTCAAACTATTGGAAAATGTTAATTATAAAGCGAAATACCATCAGAAGTTTCTTGCTTCAAAACCCAGCCGTGAATAAATGTTTAATCAGTCCAAAACTATGGAGCTGATCTTACCTGATCCGGGGATGAGAATGTTAAAAATGAGACAAACAATGGCGACGGGACGCGGTAATACTGGAATGGCATCCTTCGCTGAGATTGTCTGTTTTCGCTTCACTACTGTTGCCGGGTCTTCCTTTGGGATTATTGTTTCATTAGGAATTTGAAATCCAGGAAATGGAGTGTACAAGCCAGCTGTTGCGGAAGATGAACTCGACACTCTTGCCGAACGTGGTGTAACTCGAGAACTTTCAAGACTGAAACTTCGTTGATAGTTGCCATTTTCTAAGGGTTTCACTTGAGGTAGACCCGCACTCAAGTCGCTCGCAGCTTGAGAATTATTCTCACCAGTAAGAACTGGTGCATTTAATCCCAAAGCTGGCAAATTTTCCTTAGTATTTCGGCCCTGACTTTCGTTGTCCCCGTCAGTGACTAAAAATTGTGTTGAACTGCTCCCGCGCTGTTTGTGGGCAAGAGACATCTTCCGGTAATCAACGATTATTCCTCAGCAATGGATGTCTCCTCCATTATGTTTCACCGCAGTTACATAAATTTTGAAGTTATGAATTTCCCAAGATTCTCTGTCAGCTTCTAGCGATTCGTTACTGAACTCGAGAGAGAACTGAGCGAAAGCAGAAAGCTGCGAGATGTTGTTATGGATTAAAACTTTGACATCACAATAGACTCAACCTGAAGATCAATTTACATTCCACATCTATCAACGCCTAATTGTCCTTAGCTCGTCAAAGCCCTGAAGGCATTTATATATGAGTACCATATGTCTGATCGATGCTTTAAAGGTTTTCAGCTCTAATCACGCGCAATAAAACAGAGCGTCGTGTTCTTATCGGCAATGAGGTACAATATTGCGTTAAACACTTTTGTATTGGATCTTTTGTTCGTTAATGCATTGCTAGCTGTAGCGAGAGCGAAACACAAATTTTTTGAAGTGCAGAATAAAACAGGTATCTCAGTTTCCAGCCTGTTTGCACATGTTTCATGTTGTTTGTATTGGATCCAATTTTGCTTGCAACCTATTGAAAATATGTCTTCGAGTTTTATATCCATCTTAAGAGAGACTTGGAACATAGCAGATATTCTTTTCAATTCTATAAAATAAGGAGATTAGCGGTTAAGAACAATTTAGTACATTTGCATTGAAAAGGAAATAAATAAACCGCTCGAGAATTAATGTTGTCATCCACAATACAGACTTGTGTATTTTTGGTTCATTTACACGCTTGCAAATGACTTCGGATATATTCTTAACATTCGGGGAACATTTTTGTATATTCCAATTCTAATTTCTCAACTAATTAAGAAATACTGATTTCGGGAACATAGCTTGTGATATTGTTGTGAGGTGTAAAAGAGCTGTTTGCTGAAAGCCTTTCTTCAGAGTTTACAGTTTTCTGAATCAATAATAACAAGTAGCAATGAAATTACCGATGAAATTACCAATAACTGATAATCAAAAGTGCTTACGAAAAACTAAAATTAATTTTCAACCAGAAAAAAATTCATAGAAGGAAAAATGTTTCATTTTAAAGTGATGCCGATATTCTAATGTCTACATCTGGGTAGATTAAAATTGTAAAACGCCGGAAATTTATGCAAAGAAAATATATCAAGATTTGTAGAATGTATTCTGCGCCGGAAAGTGATATAAACAGATCTGATAAGTTTTCACTGTGCTATGAAAATCGCATCATGGATAAGGGAAGACAACGAAAGGTTTAATTTGAATTGTAAAATCAATTAAACGTGTAAGACTCTTTCGTCAGGAATACATTACACTTGCGGGAGTGGAGTCGGGGACTACTCCTGAAACATGCTATGCCATATATTCTATGAGGAGTTACCGCTGTACAAAACACGTTTCGATCTAAGAACACTAAACAGAAGAGTAATTCCACAATTAGGGTGTGACTGTACGATCAGAGGTTTAAAGACGGTACAGGAGACATTTTGCTGATCTTAAACAGGTCATCTGTCACATAAATAAAATAGGTTTTATGAGGATGCCTTTAGTTTTGGAGCACTACTGAGATCTTCCTTTGTCGAATCTCTTAACGGTCGATCAGTTTTCATTTGAGGAAGATAAGTCTACGGAGTTCATTATGTGACGAAAAAAAATCGCTTGTACAGTTTCATTATTAGATATTGGTCCGAGTGGTTTGAAATATCCCGAGTAGCTCGCTATGAATGTCTCTCCGTCCTTCAAATTTCTTTATTTACGTTTGTCGCGCGAGAAACGATATAAACCACATATGCCAGTTTTGATCATTTCAGCCATTTCAAAACCTAAACACAAACATGAAATGAAGTGTGTGATCGTCTGGGTGACTTCTTCTCGCAAACGCACTTTAGATTCTTAATATTTAGTCCTGAAATTATTATTCAGAATTCTTACGACAAAAAAAGTTGCAACGCAGTCTACGGACCGCTCCTTGTGGTCTAAAAATTTGCCAGGAAGACTCTAACAAGTTTTAAAGGAGATATGTAATTTGAGTAACAAACATCATACGTCGTTTCTGTAACTTACGATATCCCCTCAGTTCCACCTTTGAAAATAAAAACATTCTCATCATACGGCATGAGGACTACCATGGTAGCTGTACACAATTTGAATGTGTCTGGATAAAAAAGGTGAAATATTTTAAGGTTCAAACTCTTTTGTCTTGGAAATGATTTTGAACGTGCGGAAACTGCTTTAATTAAGATATTTTTCGCTTCAATTGAATACCAAAATAGCTAAAACATGGCTTTGCCGCCAGGACTGAACTAAACATTCTGTAGATAAACATATTTTACTTACCGGCGCCTGGTACAATGCAGTTAAGAATCAAACAAACCACGGCAGCTTTGAAAGGTAAAACTGGAAGATTCCTTAGAACAAAACTAGTCGTAATTTTTTCGTCGCGAGAGCCGTAAGAGTTCTTTACATTTCTATGGTCTTGTTTATTAGACTCTGTGGACCGCTGTGAGGTGCTGGTGTCTAACAAATGATTCCCGCCAACAATTGTTTGAGTTCGCAGCTCAGCGAGACTTAGCTGCTCATGAGTTTCAAATGGATGAACTGACTCGGGATACGGGTGAGCGAAAAGCGACCCACGGGGTAACAGAACATGACTCGGTACATGAAGGCTATTTTGCGTAAGAAGCAATGGCTTCACATTATGTTTCTTTGAGGCAGTTCTTTGATTTTCGTCTTCGCTGGTAGGCGCCATTTTTTCCACTTCCCACTGCATTCGTTTTCAGACCAGTTCAAACATTATTTTTAGCGCGTTCAAATTCGCATAGCTTAGTTTTGCTGTAAGTGAAAAATGTGTTTACCGAACGTCAAATTTGCATTCGTACTGTATCTCTGCTCAAAAAAAATTTCATTTACAAGTAATTACTCTTCTCAGTGCGGCAGCCGTGTTTGTTTAAGTTGTTTGTCAAGAGCTTTGGATTTTCATCTTTAATAACATTTCTTGTAAACCCAGGACACCCAATCATTGAATCAATGACGTCGTGGTTATTCTGCCAACGAGAAAAGAACGTGTTTTTCTTTGGTGTCAAATCATGATTAAAAAGAAAACGCAGAGGAAATGATAATGGTGTCTACTGATTGTTTTCTGTTGCCGGCTATTTGCATATCATGGAAATTGTGTCAACTGCCAGGATAGAAGATTTTCGTTTCATTGAGAACAAATTGCTCAATTTTTAACTTTACCGCTTATCGCGCCGAGTGGAAGCAATATCACTAAATAATTCAGCTTAGTTTTAATTTAGATTTTTTATGATAAGTATTTTTTTTATCTTGACTAGAAATTTACTCTTCAACCATAATGCAGCGAAATAGAGATGCTTGGTAGAACACGAAGGATACCTTGGAGACCAAAACGTGGAATTATGAGTGTTCTTTTCTCGCATTCACATGTTCTGATTGATGTAAGTGTCTTACTGCTGATCGCTCGCTGCTATCGATGATAAAGAACTGAAAAAAATCACCTGCTTCACTGTCGTGTTCTACAATTAAATGGCAATTATATTTGTCAGCCAGTTGGATCGAAGGACACTCACTTAAATTTTACTGATTGGTAATGGGAAGTAGCAATTTATGAGCCGGACACAGATTGATACACAATAAGGACGGGAAAAAAATGGGGCATTTCTTAAAATTCGACTTAAAAAAATGCCGACTCAGTTGGAACCTCATATAACACAAAGTGAAGTATAGTTCCTTTTAAATGTAACTGACGTGGCGCGCTAAGGAAAACTCTCTGTGCTGTTAAAAACAGCACAGTACATTAAATTATCGAGGGTCGTAGATAGTAAATTATTTTATTATGGTGTGGCCATTATCTAACTCTGAGTCATTTTTAGGATTTAATCTGGTATCTGTTCACTTCCTCGACGTCCTTTTCCAGGTAGGAAATTAGGGGTTCAGAAAAGCTGCATAGTAAATGATCTCCCCAGTTAACAAATAGAGAATGTAATGAGGTCAGGGCACATTCATAGTGCAACAGCTCTACAGCAGCAGTAGTTTGGACCACAATCAGCCACAGTGCAAGAATGATGGCGAAACACAGCCAAGCCTAGTTTGTGAGAATCTGTATATTCATCATAATTGTCCGCTAGGGCAGGTTGCCTTTTGTAGACGTGTAAAGACTCAGTACAATCCCAGGTAAGGTTATGTACTTCCTTTGGTCCTTGTTCTCGTAACTTTTTGTCGGTACAGATGTGCTTGCAGTCGGGTTTCTCTCCACAGGTCCTAAATGAACACATTTTAATCACATTTAGGTAGCAGCTATGGTATTTGGTCAGCAATGACGGTGCAAATCATATCTACAGAAGCAGGGCTTAAATTTCTTATAGTTCTATGGTAATAATTCGTCAATTCATTAAAAATCTGTCTTCAAAATACCACAACATCAATAAATCCCGTCAATAAGGTGGATTTGCTTGATCGACCGGTTAAATACAACCATCATCATATCGTCATCATTATCACTGAAAAAACCAGAAGCTTCCAGGTGGAACAGAGGAAGGTCAGTTGTTGCCAACAGAGTATAAAAGAGGGGCCATAAAAGCTTAACCACTTATT